CGAGACAGTGCTTCAGGGAAGACGACGAAATCTCTCAGTCAGGGGAAAGAATGAGTTGATGAGTCCAATAGACAACCTGAGGTGTGTCGGGCATCGGTGGAGGCTATGTCAGGTATGTTCAGATCAAGGCCTGCTCTCTGCCTTTGTCCCTAGCTGCTCCTCCATCTCTCTGGGTAACTGTGCCAGGATAAGCGTAGTGAAGCAGAGAGAACCGGTTGAGTGCGACTATGAAGGCATGGTTCACCATCGGGCGGTGAATCGAAAACGAAGGCAGCTTGCACATTCACTTGCTCAACGGCTTCTGCATTATAGTATACGGTGAGAAACTCGCCCAAATTTCTTGCGTGTGTGTAAAGCAAGGGTTCTCTCGGAGCTGCTTCGCACTGCCGTTATTAACAGTTTCTCACATCACATCAAATACACATTATAAACAAGTGAGAAACGTGTTTTTCACATGTTAATAACATAAAACTATGTTATAAACTCTAAATATGTGTTTACTAGTTCCAATTGATCACCGCAGAAGCATCTGAAGCTGCCTGCTCGGTTGAGGGCACTGTCCGTAGTACAAGGATACTGGTATGATTTAATATCACGTTGAGTTGACGGTATCCCTCATGTCTCTATGAAGATTTTCTGGTGTGTTGTCTGATCTGGGTGTCACGGACGAGCCGTTGAGAAATTCAAGTGTACATGTGGCGAGTCCCACACCCGCCGCAAACCCTCCCATCGTAACATGCACACATATGGCACACGTCCGCTCCTCCAAGATCGCGTAGCGTGTTGTAAAGACGAATGAAAACGCCATATATTACAGCATTGCAACAACCGGCTGGCGCATCTCTTCCGTTTTGCGCAACACGCGCCTTAAGATCTTGCCTGACGCGCTTTTCGGTATCTCATTGATCAGTGCGATACCTGTGGCCTTATCAGCGTCCGAAAGACAAAGATAACGTGCAGTAGCACTCGCCTCCACGTAGGCGTTTGTACGCTGCAACGCGCGTCGAGAGCCATGCGTGCATGCCCCAAATAAAGCTTTCTCTGTCGGGGGACGAAAGATGCTTGGCATCTCGAGGGACGATGTATGCTCTGGAATATTACGTTAGATCTATTGGTTTGTATAATAGAAGCATTAAAAGCATACTTGGGCAGCTCAGTAGCCTCCTCTTTCGAGTGCACGCCGATCACTGCGCAATCGCTCACATCTGGGTGCGAATTGAGGATGCCTTCGAGTTCTGCGGGCGCGACTGGGGGATCTACTGATCAGGAAGAGCTGCTCTGACCCCTGAGTAGACGTACAGACCTTGGAAACCCTTATACTTGATGAGTTCTTTAATGCGGTCCGTGATTGATAGGAAGCCGTCCTTGTCGGCTATTGCAACATCCCCTGTTCTGAGCCATCCATCCGGCGTGATTGTCTCCGCCGTCGCGTTCGGGTTCTTTGCGTATCCCCTGCGGAGCAATCTGATGAGCGCCCAAGCTGCCCATTCACTCATACATGCAACGTACTTCATGACTGCGGGGCTCCTTATCCAGAGCTCGCCGGGCGTACCGACGGGCACGTCCTTTGACTCCTCGTCGACAATACGCATTTCACAGTTTGGGAAGATGATCCCAATGCTCGTTGGGCGCCCCTCTATCTCTTCGAGAGGAATATGCGTGGCCACACCACCTGCAGCATGCAGACTATTGTCAGCATGGTTTGGAAAAGCAAACGATGCAGGACGCACTGAGCTCCGTCATGCCGTACCCCTGACCGACCTCGAGGTGCCAGCCGCGCCGCGCGAAGCGCGCCTTACATGCAAGCATCATCTCTGCGGACACAGGCGCAGCGCCAATGCCGAGCCTGCGGAGCGAGGAAAGGTCATACTTGTCCACAAGCGGGTGGTTCGTCAAAAGGAGGAGCACGGGCGGTGCAGTGATAATGGTCTATGATGCCTCGTGCTGAGCATCCCAGAGAGGGAGCACATATGCGGGTACGCACCGACACCCTATACTTCTCAATGCAGGCCAAATACTCATCAGGCACAAAGCGCGGGAGGAGTACGACCGGAACTCCCTTGAATAGCGAGAACATGACGAGATATAGGCCACCCAGGACGTGGAAGAGCGGGATGCCGGTGATCGTTACGTCGCGGTTTGTCGCGTTGTACAGATCGACAGAGACCAGTTGGGTGATGCTTGCGACAACATTCCTGTGCGAGAGCTCGACGCCCTTGCTTAGGCCCGTGGTGCCTGCCGTCGTTTGCAGTCAGTCATGCCCAGTAAGTAACGCAGAGATTGTACCTGAGCTGAAATAGATGAGCGTAGTTGCCTCTGACGCATCGTCGTCGAAGCGTTCTGGAATGCAGGGCACCGGTGTGCAATCGAGTCTGTCCAAATTGATCCACGAGCCGGTTCTATACTCGGACGGCACCTCGCTGTTTGGAGCTACGATGATGACACGTCGCTTGATCTCGTCCTCTGAGTACCCCAGGGACCGCAACGTCTCGAGCGCGAGCGGCATCGCCGACGGATGCGCCAGAATATGTTCTGTGTCGCTGACGGTAATCGCGTGTGCGAGCTCATGTTTCGAGAAAGCAGGATCTGCAAGGACACATGCTATGCCCGCTGCAGCCTGCCAGACTCGGAGGACTCTCAGCAAGCGCACCTCTAATCAGTCCACACGTCTGCTCACCATAGCAAATTGCACGACCATGTACAGGTCCGTGGTAGGGCTTAATAACATCGCCGTCGACCCCTTCGCCAACGGATGCAGACCGACATTGCCGGCGTTACGCAGGCCATGCGCTAGCCGAAGAGAGCTCTCTCTGAGCTGCCTGCGGGTGATGATCGCGCCGGTTTGGCCATTGATGGTGAACGGATGGTTGTCGCTGAAAATATCGCGTGCGAAGACAAACGAGTAATAGGATTCCCTGCTAACTGGAATTGACGGGTAGCATGACGAAAACCGTGACAGCTGGACAGACATGGGTGTAGAGGACGATGGGGAGTACAGGGAGATAAAGGCTGGGCTTACTGCAGTTATATTTCCCTCCACTCTCCCGCAATCAAATGCAGTCGCTGGACATGATACATGTTCTACAATGTTGGCATCGGAAGCGGACCCGGCGCCGGCGACTCGGAGGCGTCATGTCGGTTCTCTGTGCGGCCGAGCCTCCACCTTGCTTTCATGTGGAGCCTGTTCCACGGTATACCGCTAGCCCCGCCGCGTGGGGTGTTTCAGCGCGAGTATCACACCCTGGCGGTGGACTTGAGGCGCGGCATGGACGCTCATTTGGTGATTCTCCGGAAACGGAGTCCTTGAGTTTGATCCGATCGCCGGGGCATTGTGGCGCTCGGCTGGCACAATTTCGAAGCCGTAAATGTTGCTTCGACTATGAGTCCTTGACCACTTGCACCTCTCAAATTCAGCAACGAAAGCATAACCGAGAGAAGAACTACAATATTAATTACTGTATGATACATCCTATGTAAGTACAAGGCTGTGAGTGGGTAATACGAATACAGAATATACGCCGCTAGCTTAATAAGTGTCGCGGTACGAGTCCTTTTGTTCGGTACCTCTAAATGCACGATCACCGTTCAGCCCTAAGACTGACCTAACCCAAGGCTGATAATTGCATACACGTTAGCCACAACAATAAGGATCCAGATTAGCCAGCCGAGGGTAGCGACGAGTTTATTGTTCGAATAGTCGACCGTCTCCACTGCGGCCTCGACGTCTTTTGGTGACGACGCGCTGTTTGGAACATCATCGTTCTCTAGCTGTAGCTGCGGCTCAGTCATATTGTCCGCCTTATCCACTTTATCCGGTTCCTGTTCGTCCTCCGTCTCAGGCTGCACCTTCTTGACGGTCATGATGCCGCGCGAGCCGGTAAAATACAGCAGGGGGAAGACGATGAACGGAAGCACAATGCTGAGCGCCACCTGTGACGCGACAAGCATCGTGTCGACGCCGCCGCGCCCTGCGGCGATCGCGACGGCCATCGATGGCACCAGCCCGATAGCGCGCGTGAGCACGCGCCGGAGGATGGGCGAGACGCGCCAGCGGAGGAAGCCCTCGGAGACAACCTGGCCCGCCATCGTCGCGATGATCGACGAGCTTTGGCCCGAGGCGAGAAGTGCGAGTGCGAAAAGCGTCGCGGCGCCCTGCCCGACGATACGTTTCAACAGATCATACGCGTCGAAGAGGCTTGCTGGACCGCCCGAACTTTTGCCAGCGCCGTAATAAAAGACGGCGCCTGCCAGAATGAGGATTCTGTTATGTGAAGAAGTCAGGTGACATTACGCTGAGAACAAGAGAGAAGAAACATACAAGGCGTTGATGACGACAGCGAGACCCAGCAGGCTGAGCGTAATGTCAATCATACCGTGGTATATATGCGCCCTCACAAAGGTATAAGTGTTGTTATCTCGTCCTGCATGTGACTTTGGATCTGAGGAGAGCTCTCCGATCGGTACGAGACGAAAAGTTTCGCGGAAAGTCTTCTTGAGTTGACGAAACATCTCGTGGGGCGGCGGCAGACTTAATTTTGCCTTCAACGTGTGTAGAACAAGTGTCGTACCGGTGTCGCCTGTTTCGATGCGTGGAAGCTTGTCGTGCTTGGATATACGGTCCTGAGTGGATAGCGCTGAGCCAAGAAAGATGCTGTGTGGCATGACGGTGGCGCCGATGATACCAATAGCTGAAGAGGCTGTCGTTAGACACGTTTCGACGCACATATACGCGGGTACCTACAGGTATACAACGCTCCAGACTTGAACAGAGAATTTGATGGAATAAAGCCATCAAACGCCTGGCCCCAGTCGACGTTGACTTGTGAAATGATGATGGCCATGCACACTAGCACGGTAAAGACCTGCAGCAAAACAAGTTGGGTTTATCCGCAGAAATGACATGTAGTGTGCTTACCATTGCACCAATGATGATCTCAAACAGCCTAACGGGCTTTCCACCAAGTGGGTCCTTCAAAGCCAAGAGTATGAATACGTCAGAGGCAGTGATGAGTACGCCGGCCCATAACGGAAGCTTGGGGAACAAAAGTGTCAATGCGATAGCTGAGCCCAGGAGTTCGGCGAGGTCTGTGGCGATTATAGCGATTTCGGATAGTACATAGAGTGGGTATAGCAGTGCCCAGCGGTACAGTAGGGTATGTTTAGAGCGCGAATGGAGCAGAAGTCGACAGTGGGAGGCAAGATCTGTGCCGGCGATAAGTAGGCAATCAACCGGTGTATACTCACTCACTTACCGAGACCTGTGACGCACCCCAAGCGAGAGGCCAGAATCTGACAAAAGTCCCCGTCAATACGCCGCCGTCCGGACGTTTGCCATCGATCCGAACACACACCTGTAAAAATACAGCGAATATTCCCGACAACAGCACGACGAAGAGTAGTTTGTAGCCGTATTGCGAGCCCGCTTGTAGGTCGACGCCCCAGTTGCCGCTGCCGGCGAGGTCAGTACAGCCGGTCCTCCGGTGACAGCACAGGTACATACGGGTCAAAGTAGGCGACGGCACAAACGATTCCCACACCTGTGTGACTGGCTGCGTGTTCAAATACTGCGTTCGTTGCGCGGCGCATGCGCGCGAGCACCTGGCGTGTCCGGGACATCAGGGGCACTTTGTCGATGCCAGCGGCGTCGGGGGCGAGGGCCTGAGGATCAGGGGGCATGGCCTGTGGGCGAGGGGCGAGGAGAGGGCAGGACGAGATGCATGAGGGCTGGAGGTAAAAGAGACGGCGAGGGGGAAGAACCAGAGGAGCGGACGAGCGAGAACGAAAGTTTGGTACGGCCCTCTGCTCTGGCCACCACCCAGCCCCCAGAAATGGCAATGTGGGGCCCCGACGCTCAACTGGCGCCCGTCGATCCGGGTCACCCGAAAATCGCCGGCAGGGCATTGAGACGCATTATCCAGCAAATGCTGCAGGTGTCGCATCTTGGTCCGCAGACTGTGGATGCTACTGAGCAACACGAGGAGCAAATCGCTGCAAGGAGACTGCGGCGGCACGGGGTAACGATATGGACCCTCTTCAGATCTCATCTTATCGCATATTTACTCTATTTGTACTACGGTTTCCCTTTTCTGTGCAGCCAAAAAGATTTAGATCCGCGGGAAATACAAGTAGCAGATGTTCGTACACGACTTGGAAATATTTGTACTCCGCTTGAGAGCGGCAGCCCTAGCGTTTATCTGTGCGGACTTCACCAGTGACGATTGGAAGGTGTGTATTAACGGGAGCTGCTGTGCTCACACAATGACACAGCCGAGGCGGCAGATCCGACTTAACACTCTTAATTTTTTTTTTTTCATTCGTTTCACGTTTCGCTAGGTCCACAACGTGTGGGCTCAGACTTACGAGACACTCAAGGGATAACACGGCCCATTCATCAGCATCGTGTGTCCGTGAATAACATCGCTAAACGAGGCGTCCCGTACATCCATGCTCTCTCTATGCACATGTGGCGCCAAATCCAAAGGGAGAACAAATCTATTCTTGCTAAGAATAATATGAGGTGTTACAACGGCATAAGTCTTCGAAGGTGTGACGACGAGGTGGGTCCGAGTCAGAGGATGCGCCGCATTGCCGTAACTGGTCGCCAGAGAGGTATTTCAGGAGATGAGCTCTATAACGTGACCGATGACAGCATGGGGTCGCTAGACATTAGAGGTCCGCAGCCAATCAGAGCAGAGGTACAAGCCAGCCCAGTCCGAGCGATCCTCCGGCTTGGGCCAGATAAGCGCCATTCAACCAGCCGCTACCAGAACGCGGGGACCGTTCCGTCGCGCCACGCAGGACCGCTAGAGGGGAGTTCGGATGCGCTGCGCAGCAGCCCACGGTGTCGCTACAGGTGCCGTGTATATCGGACTTGTCGTGCGCGTGAGACCGCCGAGCGATAGCGAGCGTCGTCCAGAGGCGCGCCAGCCCGAGCGCAGTCACAGTCGTCTTGAGAGATCGTCGAAGCGGTGGGAAGGCCTTTCTTCCGAGAGAAACCCTGCTGTTGCCTTTCGCGGAGACAGAGGATACTGTTGCGCGGAGTATGCCCCTGGCGCGTATAGCCTTGGCGCGGACGAAGCGCCTGGCACGCTGAAGCCTGGGCAATCTGCGCACAGACACGACGTCAGTGCTCGTGGCGTCGTCCGCCCCTGGCATATCGGCATAGCACCCTGGCACACCAACTTCATGCATCAGGGCTCTGTTGCGCGCATTGCTCTCGCCCGGCCGGATGTACGGCGCCGTGAGCCAGCGCCGCCGCCCACCGTCTTGTGCGCGATACCAGACCTTGCAGGCGAGCCATTGCTGATCACAGTCGCGGCACTGGAGGCCTTTCTCGAACTCAAAAAGGCCGCACTCGCCACAAGATGCCAGGTGCGGTGCCGAAGAGACCAGAGAGCGTATTTGAGCTTCAGGCGCTTCATTCGGTGGAGGGTCCAGCGCTTCGAAGAATTTGGATACCGTGATTGGAGACTGAGGAACAAAGACAGGCGACTGAGGCATTACTGGCGTAGGCAGTGTGAGTATCATGGATGGACATTGTATATTCATATCCCCTGCGCAGTGTGACGTCGCAATCGTCGGGAGCCAGGCTGAGGGAACCAGCTGAAAAGACAAATTGTTCGAGCACCCAGAGCCGGAGAGCTGAACGTCTTCGGGAATGCGTTGGCCTCCTTGACATACTCGCTCGAACACGACACCAGTAGTCCGATCCACAGCTTGCAGAACTTGGTTTGCTCCCGGCACGAGCGTCCTGCGGAATGTTGAACAGGCCCTAAAGCAACTCCCGAAGTTGATGGAGTCTTCGCTGAAGGCGACCAGCTCAACCTACGCATGAAACGGCGTTTAGGTCTAGGTCAGACATCACCAGCTGCAACTTACCCTCTGTGGCACTCGGCGTAACTCTGGTCGAGAGGTTCGCGGCACCGAATCGTAAGAGTCGCCAGAAGAAAGTAAAGTCGATTCGATACCTCTCGAGACTGTGTCGGGCCAAGTGTGAAAGTTGCGTGTGGCCGTAACATCTCTCTCTTTTATCTGCAGGCCTCAACGTTTGAAAGCTGACATGAATGGGCGCATATATCACGAACGAGTACGAACAGCTCGGCCTCGCTGATAGATCTTGCCTTTCTGTGTCTGTAGGATCGCAAAGGTTGAGGTGGCGTCACCTGAGGGCTTTCATCGAAGCTCCATCGCAGGCCATCAAAGTCGGTAATGCATTGATCACCCGAGTTAGATGTAGTTGTCTGACACTATGTCAGTACTCGCCCGCCTTATGGGTCGGCGGGCTGACGCACCTCTGTACCAGAGCAGTTTCTGCTCTCTTCAATGATCTCCAAAGACGACTCATTGTACGGACCAGCCTTGTTTTCCATCATCTACATCAAAGATAACGTAAGGGGCTGCACTAGGGCAACAGCAGACGAACCTACAACGTCATCATCGGGAGTCGTAATAGTTGTGGTAGTCTTCGTTACAAGAATGCGATTGTCTGTGTGGGCTGAATAACAGGACATTCAGCAAATTAACTAAGCCAGCGTAAAACAAGTATACATGTCTTTTGAATGCATGCATAGCCTGCATTGGTCTTAGTGGCAGCGCTTCGCTTGCGTCAAAGGAGATCACGTACCGAAGTGCATTCGTTGACGGCTTGGAACCTCTCGCGCTAAATGGAGCGAGCGTAAGCTCTGACGTAGAATTTCAGAAGAGAGAACTATAGGATCCAAATCATGTCGTACCGGACGTGGCTTGACCATTAACCTTACAAATTGTCGGGTGCCCGCGACGTCGAGCGGCATCGCGAAGCCTTTGGAAATTGTAGACTGTTGGTGTGCGTCACGGTATAGACGAATGTAGAAAGTTTTAAATATAAGGCAAAGACTGTGGATTATGAGATTTAGCGTAGTGGTAGAGTTGGATAGCGGTAAGACGCAAGACGCGGCGGTTCGACTTAGTCATGAATCTTGCCGCGGCTTGCCGGCTTGCAGGCGCTTGCGGCCGAGGACTCCGCAGTATATTTGCGCAGCCTTCTAGCTGTGCTTGCATCTCCTTCACATAAGATAATGCATGTGGTAGACAGGTTAAGTTTGCTTATGCCAGCCCTAGCAGTCTATCAGCGGCCAAACAGAGGGTGGGCTGAGCAAAAAGCATTTCTCCTCAGGTTAGGGTTAAGATTACGTTCGCACGAGACTGAAGCTTCGTCTTATTATCCACCCCGACAATCTGTATTGCGCAAGCTTATACATCAACCACACTAAGTGGTATAAGGAGCTAGAAGAAGACGATGAGAAAGAGGTTTTGGAGTTGATGCGAGAGCAGCTGCAGCTCCCGGAGGACGAGGCGCCGATGTGGTACTTCCAACGCCACGAGACGAATTAGTTCCTCTTTTGTGCAAAAAGAGGTCCAGAAATATATATGATACTTTTCACAAAAAGAGCTGAACACTTCTCCTGGGTATAAGCAGTGCTATTTGCAGCACGAAAAGGTGTGTTACTGTATTTTACTTTTTTTGAGTGTGAGAGGAGTTCAAATATTCCTAAGGAAAATAGGGTATCTATTCTTGTGCCTATTTTCGGACAAAATAGTGATCGCCCGCTGTATTCGTATACCTATTCGTAATTTCAAGTCCCATGCTACCTGTTGTGACCCATTCGTTGCAATGTTTTGTAGCCGCAAGTCGAAAATAGTCGTCACCCGCACCCTCAACGCCACCATGCCAGTGGTTTCGGAGGCTTCGCCTTCCTCTTTTAGGCGTGCGTCTCTACTACTTCGCGATACACTGAGAAGAGCGACAAAAAAAGCCTCGGAAATTCTGCCCATGTCAAGGTAAAGATCAAGGTAAAGATCTAGGTCCAACAGGTGACGACTCTTTACGAAAATAGTAATCGCTCCGTTCCTCAATCAGCGACATCAATGAGAGCACCCTCGACTGGCCCGCACAGCCCTATCCCCAATCTTGGACGTCACAGTCCGCCAAAGGGGCTCGGCAAACTGACCCCAACGGAAACTCAAGAAAAAGATGTCGAGATTACTCTGGATCAAGTGTTTGACGTCGTAAGCTAGCTATCGCAGTATCTTAGCAGGTCTGGGCTTACTCAATGCACCATAAGAGCACGCTGGAAACCGTGGCGGAGAGTCCCGTGGCATATGTTAGCCGTGCTGTTCACAGAAAAGACTCTGCGCATATACCAGGGAAGGCTGTCGCTATCAAGAGCGCTTCAGTCCTCTTGGAGTTTTCGAAGCAGCCTCATGATATACGGAAAGAAGCTCGACTGCTAGCTCGCATTTCTCATCCAGGGGCATGTGTACCTGAGTATAACGTTTGTGCAGTACTCTGATGAGGTCTAGTAGGTCATTGATTTCGTTGGGAGCACATACGAACGCGCCACGAGCTCTTTGCACTTCTGGATGCCCTTCATAAAGCTCTCTCTATCCGATCTCTTGGAATCTCCAAGCTTCTCGCCCCATTCTGCCCCAGTACCGGGTCCACCTTTCGGTGAAGCCGAGTTCACCACTGTCGCTCGATCTGTCATATATCAAATCTGTTCTGCACTTGCCTACCTGCACGACTCGGTTAACTCCATCGCTCATCGCGACGTCAAGCCTCGCAACGTTCTGATAGCTTCAGACGGGTGTGCAAAGTTAATCGATTTCGGGATTGCACGAGATACACGAATCTCGCCTTCGATGGAGGCTCTCTGGCCTGAACCTTCTGGCTCGCTCTGCCCTCATGTCTGTTCGGGGTGAGCTCTCTCGTTTTTCAACAGACAGCACCTCCTAATTATCCTCATTACAGCCCGTACCGCGCCCCTGAAACCATTTTTGGCTCCACAGACTACGACCCATTCGCGGTTGACCTGTGGAGCTTCGGCGCACTCTGCGCCGAGTTGTTCACGCCCCTCCGCTTCGTACCTGACGAGGACATCTCGGATGACGGATTCTCGGACGCTTTAGACTGCGAGACGCCTCCGCCGCTTCTGCCGCACATCACCCCGGAGGACTTCTGGCATAGACGGGGGAGCTGGTGGAGGGACTCACTGTTCAACTCGGAGAGAGGATCTATCGGGCTGGCATGGAGCATATTCAAGCTAAGGGGGACACCAGACGAAGTGAACTGGCCGGTCAGTGCAATGATTCACTTCTATATTTAATTAATATAGTAAAATTGGCTCGTCAGTCTTTCAAGACCTTGCCGGATGCCAACAAGGTGTCCTTCATCGACACCACTTCAGTCGACCTGCGCAACATCCTGCCGAATCTTCCCCAAGCGGTCGATGGCGCTTCACGCTCCTCAGAGACGAGACATTTCCCTCCAGCAGAACCCGCTCAGTCAGCACTCGACCTCGTCCACCGATTTCTCGTCTACCCTCCAGAACGAAGACTCAAAACTACAGACGCACTCCAGCACCCCTGGCTCAATTCAAGTGCGCTGCTCCTCCCACCAGGCTACGTCAAGGAGAACGCTATCACCGAATGGAAGGGGATGGTCCTTGGTGAAATTATCCAAATGTACATAGACCCCAGGCAAGCCCGGAGACGCGGTGCGTCGGAAGAATAGCAATAACTCAAGCCAGGGTAACATACAACAATTCAGTCTACAGTAAATAATCCTGCATCATGACAACAAGAAATGGAAAGGGTTCGAGTTCTAAGACGGAACGGTAGAGACGGGTGCGGTGACCAGGGGGCGATTGTCAATGGAAATACCTGAGGAAATTGGATCAGTATTAAAGGGGTGCTGGACAGAGTAGACTCACTCTTTGTAACGTTCGAGGTCTTGTAGATCCCGATGAGACGGTGGCTAAGTTCGAACATGTCGTTCCTAGTAGGAGACTTATTACACCAGTAGCCAATACATGAAAAACGTATGATACTTGCCTTAGGGAAATGATAATGAACTGTGCATTCTTCGTACGGTCCTTGATGTAATTGGCAACGATAGACACGTTACGGAAGTCAAGAGCTGCGTCGATCTCGTCCATGAAGTATAGCGGAGTGGGCTTGTAGACATGCAGGGCGAAGACCAGAGCCAAAGAGCTTAACGTCTACGACGACCGTCAGCAGGTAGCTAGCATACGCAGGACGGTGGGAACTAACTTTCTCACCACCAGACAAGTTAGAGATATTCTTCCAGCTTTTCTTGGGCGGCATGACGCTAAAAATGATGCCTTCCGAGAACGGGTCCATGCTGTCGACCAGCTCAAGTTCGGCGTTGCCTCCTAGAGTGATCATCTGGTACATCTCCTTGAGCTTGAGCGAAATGGTGCTGAAGCCAGACATAAACTCGTCTAGTCGCTGCTTCCGGAGCTCGTCGTACTTCTGCTTCTGCTCGTCACGGAGCCTGGTCACCTCCTCAAGGTCCGAAGCGCGGCGTAAGAACTCCTCTTCGCGCTTCTTATAGTCCTTGAGCACGCCGAGGTTCGGCTTGGCGGACTTGAGCTGCTCTGTCCGCTTGTAAGTAAAATAACGACTCTGACGTGAAACCTATCCTACCATCGAGCAGCTCTGCCTTGGCAATGAGCTCACGTTTCCTGAAAGACGCAAGCTCGTCGTCGGTATACATCTGCAGCTCATGCCGGTTCGCGCGTGAACGGCGTGCTTGATTCAGGCTGGGTTCCTCGCCCTCGGCCTTGACAGAGACCTCAGCGTCTTGAGCTGTCTCGCTGGCTTGCCCATCGCCTTCCTGATTGTCCTTGTCCTTGTCCTCAGCTTCTCCATCCTCTCCGTCCTCGTCCTCGTCGCTGTAAGCTGTCAGGAAAGTTTCACTTCGCAGTACATAAACTCTACGTACTCGATATCGGCGAGATGAAGCTTATCGTGCTCGGCAGTCCAGTGCTGAATGTACTTGTCGTTCTCCGCAGCTTCCTTCCTCGCATCAGCTAGTACCTGCTTCAGCTCCATCTGTACTCGCGTTTTCAGTATTAGTTGACGAATCAACCGCATGATCGAAACAAACCTGCTTCTTCTTGAAGCCATCCACCTCCTCTTCCTTCTCCTCCAGCTCTCGCTTGCGCTTCTCGAGATCCTCCTTCTGATTCTCCTCAATCTCTTGGGCTCGCTCAACCTCTGTCCTCAGATTGTTGAGGTATTCATTGCACTCATCAAGAGATATCTCGAGTTCGTCAAGGTTGCTCTGAACTTGCTCGAAGCTTTCGCCGTTTGAGCGCAGACTCTTCTCCAGCTTTGCGAGATCCTTTTCGGCCTTGCTCTTTGCAACTTCGGCCTTCGTGATCTCGTCATTCGCAAGGTTGAGGTGTAGTCGAATACCGTCAACCTTAGACTTCTGCGCAAGCAAACGCGAACCGCCGATCTCGAGAATCTTTTGTTCTAGCGCCGTGATTTCGGCTTCGATGGAAGCGGTGCGCTCCTCGAGCCCTTCGAGCTCCTGCGTAGCAAATTCGATCTGTGCATCGAGGGTGGAAATCCTAGCGACGTCGCCTGAGTCCGGTTTGGTATTGCCCCTGGAAAAAAGTCAGCTCAGCAGCCCAGACCAAAGAGCGAAACAGCTTGCCTAAGCCCACGAACACGCTTCTCGGCGTCGGCAATGCGGCGAGTGAACGTCTGAAGATCGAGGTTCACTTTCTCGATAGCCATGTCAATTTGTGGCCCAGCCTTCTGGAGCGCCTCGACGTCGGTCTCCATCTCCTTATATTTCGCGAGCATCGCGTCCAGCTCTCTGTGCGCCGCCTCGCTCTCCTTCTCGTACTCGCGAAGGGTCTCCGGAGAGACTGAGTCTGCAGCGAGCTTCGAGCTCATACCACCTCGGTTAACCTGCGTGCCACCACCGGACATTGTACCAGAAGCATCAATGAGCTGCCCAGCGAGGGTGACAACACGCCAGCGGCGGTGTCCACCGAAAGCGATGCGATTCGCTTGGTCGAGATCGCTCGCAACGAGGGTATTACCGACACCTTTCAGGAATGCAGGAGCAAACTTGGGGTCTTTCGGAGCGATGAGGTCAAACAGCCGTGATACGTTCTCAGGAGTTGAGATTTTATCTATGCCGTGCGAGGAGAGCTTATCAAGGACCATGAAAGAGGCGCGGCCGACGTTCTGCTTGCGCAGATAATCAATGCAAGCCTGAGCATCTTCTACGTGGTCGACAACCATGTTATTGAGGGCACCACAGGCGGTCGACACCGCAATGTCGTATCGTTCTGGGATGGTTCCAAGGCTGCCCAAGCGCCCCTACAAGAATGGTAGGGGTAAGAGCTGGTAAATATTACAACAGAAGGAACACCTACATGGAAGCCACTGATACGACCGGTCTGTTGAAGCCTCGTCAGCGTGTCGAGGACCTTGTTCTGAGTGGTGCTGGCAGCTTGCGATGCCTTGGCTTCCTCAGCCTTCTGACGTGATGCCGACGCCTTGCTGCGCAGCTGCTGACCACGAGCCTGGATATCTTGCAGGCGCTTCTGCCCGTCGCTGAGCTCCCGGAGCTTGGAAGACCGTTCGTCCTTCAGTTCCTTGAGCTCGTTGTTCTAGAGGCCACATCAGAATTCTGTCTCCGGTACAATGAAGGCAGGCGCACCTTGGCAGCTTGGTCCTCACGCAACTGATCCAGAGTAGCCTGCGCTTCCTGACTAGCCTGCTTCGCCTCTTCGGCTTTCTTGGTCAACATGTCGCGTTCGCTAGTCGCAATATCAACCTCGGCCTTCTTCTTGTTGATCTTGACATTCCACGGCTGAAGCTCTTTCTGCTTAATCTCGATCTGGTCGTGATAAACCTGAGTCTTGTCTGTGTATTGCATGTTAGCTGTGATTTACATGCCTAGGATAGAGGTTCATGGTTTACCCTTCAGGCTGTCCCGAATCTGCTCGAGGACCTTCTCCTCTTCGGCAAGCTGGGCCTCGAATTGCTCCAGCTTCTTACGCTCTTTTTGCATCTTCTCATCATTATCGACGATGGCACGCCCTGCCTCACCCTTCGCTTTCTCGTCCTGCGGATGTATGTCAGCAAAGGCTCTGAGAGGCATTATGTGCGCCTCTCACATCGTTCATGGACTTCTGTAGCTTCTTAAGCTTCGTTTTGGCGTGCTTGCGTCGCTCCTCGAGGCTAACCTGCTCTTTCTCGCGCCCTGCGAGATCCTTCATGGCCTCGGCAAGAGCAGCTTTAACGTCCTGGGAGGATATGAACGTTAAGCAGGGTAGACAGGGCATAATCACGTACATCGTAGGCCTTGCAACGCTCCTCATAGTTCTGCTGAAGTAGTTCGAGATGCTCTATATCATCCTTGTTGCGCTCAGTCTCCTCCTTGAGCTCGGCTTCGGCTTTATTCTATGGCAATCTGTGAACACCAGTCTGAACTTCAAACCCCACTGCTGGTACTCACGATCCTCGACTTGATAATCTCCTCATTCTTTAGACAGGTCCAGAGGTACCACTGCCATAGCCGTGACAGAGCACGAACGTGCTCATTTTGCATCCGCAGATAGTCTTCGGCTTCCTTTTTCTCCTTCTCGAGCGCGTTGCGTTCGCGCTCGACGATCTTGAGGCGGTTCAATTTCTCGACACGCTCCTCGGAGTACTTGTCCATCTCCTGCAGCGCCTCCTCGATGGGTACCTTGAAGCGTGACGTCCCAATGATGTCCTCGAGGTATTCAAGCAGACCGTCTTCATGTTCTGAAGGCGCCTTGGGCTTCATCTGTGCGATAGACTCAACTTCGCCCTGGAGAATGAGGAAACGGTTGTGATCGAGGTCGATTCCTCGGCCTTTCAGAAGAGTCTGCACTTCTTTGTAGTTGCTCGCGCGACCATTGATGGTGTACTTGCTCAAATTGTTCTTGTACGCCGTCCTCGCAATTACAAGCTGGGAGTCAGGAACAACTTCGAGAGCATCCGGGCCAGGCTGCGGATCAGTCAGCGTATACTCAGGTATAAACAGGGAATTTTTTCGGCACATACTAGATCGGTAATATCACGGAAGTGGACTTCGACGCTGCACTCCTCGAGATCTGGATGTCTGGCGGAATTGTGAATGAGCTCGGAGAGCTTGCCTTGTCGCATCTTTGACGCTCGGTAACCGAACACAAAGAGCAGAGCGTCGATCGTGTTCGACTTCCCGGAGCCGTTTGGACCGACAATCGAGGAGAATGACTGGACGAAAGTAAACGCTAGAATCTAACTGATACACCGCGAGAAACGGCGTACCTTGTGAAATGGTCCAATCTCTTGTCGTCCAGCGTAGCTCTTGAAATTGACCAACGCTATCTTATGGATGACCAGACGCGATTTGGGCCCTTGGGATTCTTCCACGACAGGAGCCACTTGCGACTTTCTCGGGGACCGTATGGGCGTGAGCGATATATTAGGGTCAAGCAATGACCGCTCTTCTTCTTCGGGCTCTTCGACGACTGGCAACGGGACGCGTGTCTTCTTTGGAGTTGATGCCGGAGCCTTGGACGGTGCATCTCGTTCAATATAGGACAACGCGTCTGACTCATTTCCATCGTCGACAGGCCTGGGTTCAGATGGCGCTCGTGAAGGAACGAGATCTTCATCTTCTGGGGCGATGGACGCGCGAGTACCACGTCGTCCGGAGGATTGAGGTACCGCCGCTGCACGCCGTCCTCGAGTAGCCTTGGGCGCAGCAGTACGCGAAACAGAGCCGCCACGAGCCTTGCGCGCTGGCTTCGGCACGTCGTCATCTTGAAAGTCGTCGTCGTCAGAATCCGCGACCTTTCTCGCCAAGCGGCGTGCCTTGGGACGAGGTGCATCGTCTTCGGACTCTGACTTGACAGATACGATCGCGTCTTCATCGTCTTCCTCCTCCTTCACCGCAGCTTTGGCACCCTTCTTGCCTGAGGAAGCGGACGCCTTGCGGACGGGAGCTCTTCGTCCACGGCTCGGCTTGGGTTTCATCTCTTCTTTCTCTTCCTCATCCTCCTTATCTTCGTTGTCCAGGGATGATCTCGCTTTCTTGACAGGAGGCGGAGAGTCATCTTCGTCGCGCTCTTCTTCTAATTCGCGCACGTCCTCCAACGACTTGCGCGTCGTAGCCCGACCTCTAAGCGAGTCACGAGTGCCGCTCTTAATAGCGGGCTTGGTACTCTGCAGCTCCGTCGAGAGCTCATTCTCGGAAGAGGGGCGTTTTCTCTTGCTGGGTGGGGCTGATGGCGGTGGCTGCGGCTCAACCGACGCTCGGGCTCTACTCGACCGACGGGGAGGCATTGTGACAGTAAGAGTGTTGAGTATAGGGAGGTCGTATTACCCCCCTTCAAGGGAGATGTCAAAGGTACTGGCGGGGCTGGTCGCAAAGATCAACGACGGCGACGCGTGCACGAAATGAGCCATCACGTGCGCGTTAAATACACAAGCGCTCACGCGCTCACGATGGGCCAGCAGGCGCGAGCAATATCGAGCTACATACCCGCAACCCAACCGAAATCGTACACCGTGCGCAGAGAAGGCTGATTTGGAGATCGCGTTCCCGTCTCAGGTGAGTGTCGACAAATCGGTCATTGTGGCATCTGGTGATATTGCGGCCATCGCTAGATTTTAGAAAGCTTGTAATCATTCAATGTTCCAGACGAGGCACGCCAAGGGAGTAGACTTTCTTCGCCGCTTCAAACGTCCAAATTTCCGTGTCCGGTTCATTATTCTTTCAGCTTTCATGTGTACCTACATGGCTGCAGCGTCTGCATCTGGGGTGACTGGGATCGTTGGATCTCACTAGTATTCGTAGCTCTAAACAATGGTAGGACGGCCCTCTAAAATCTGATTGTCTCGACTGTCTGCGTAACCTCCAGCCATAAATGTGACCATCGGTTTGGCCGCTTTCCCAGGTATCGAGATGGCACGAGAACCGTGACAAAATGTGTCATTTTCGTGAATCTAGTTCAGGGCCTTCAGTCCTACTGAAATGAGTGAATTGACGAGTACTGTACGAGTTTGAATGGGAGCAACGTCACGCGTCACAGACCTCCCCAGGAGTTGTAATTTTTGGGTCAACTTTGCATCAAATCTGGGCCAAAATCGAGATAAATTCAACACAAATCCCCTAAAATCCTCGAAATTACTGTTTTTGGTCATTTGGCGCCCGCCGTTGCTCGCGCAGCTTGGATGTCACGCCTCCGGGGTTGGTTGCTCCCAATCAAACTCGTACAGTAATGCTTTTCAAGGCCTCTATGTCTCGTTGCTAGCTCGTTTCAGGATAGCGGGCGTCGAGGTGTAGCCTTTCAGAGGTACGTACAGCGGATATTAATTGGCACGTTGGGCATGCTTTCGGTAAATCCCGGGGTGTCATACGTTGCGGAGCACGACCATCTTCAAGCTGGCCTTGTACATAGAGAGGCAGGCGGTGAGTATGTGCAGCTGGGGTCCATAATTTTCTCTGAGCTGTGCTACACAGCCAAACGACGGGGGATGTTCTAGCAAGTCATCCAGCATCGTCAACAATGGTCTACCCCTTTCAGAACCTCGTGGCGTGGCTGACCAGGGACTTCGGTCAGCACCGCTGCCCGCTTATCATCCACCCCCAAGGTCTAGATGCGGCTGCACGTTCGCCAGAGCTTTCTAAGTTATCATCCTTCTCACCCAGTGACCAATACGGCCTTCCCCTCGAACTCTGGGAACTTATCATCGACTCACTTTGCGACGACGTCAACGCTTTGTTAGCGTGTGCTGCAACATGCTCTGTCTTTCTGCGCAGGAGTCGCCACCATCTGTACAAGCGCGTTATGCTTAGGACCGAAGACGATGCCAACCTGTTCGTGCAGACCCTTGCGAATGACAAGGCGAACTGGGATGCCGTCCGCGAACTCAAATTGGCGGGGCAGCTGCTATGCGAGCGAGATAGGAATACTACGCCACTTCTCTTCCCCATGCTCAGGAGGCTGTATACACTCGTCGTCTACCGTTTGGAGCAGGACGCACTTGCCCACATACATCTATTCCTCGCCCCCGTGCAGCAAAGCATCACTAAATTTTCCCTATGCGCTGCTCATCTGCCGTCTTTCTCGTCGCTCTCCAACTTGCTCCTTAGCTTTCCTCATCTCCGAGATTTGTCCTTGCTGGGCATCACTTTCATGCAAGACGTCGATGTCTCGACGATAAAAGTGTACAAGCCTCAGCTCCACCTGACTCTTCTGGACCTGAGTGTACCGTTTGGTCATGGCAATTATTCCTATATACAGGCTATGGCATCGTGGGTGTGCCATGTATCATTCACCACCCTTTGCTGTTTGCGGCTTCAGTTGCCACTTGGTGCGGAAATGGCTAGCGCTGCCGAGCAACTCGTCCACGCAAATAGAGCAACTCTACACACGCTTGCTCTTGATTTCGGTTGCTCGCATTGGGAGAATGGTGAGTTACTCTCAGCTGCATCTATACGAGCTGAGTCGATTCCTCGTCTGGTGCCCAGTTTCGCTGCAGCTCTCTGAGAATATGGCTCTGCGCAGGCTGCAGCTTCGCATGCCAGTCACTGCCGCTCCAACTTATGTCTCGTTGCTCCGCCATCTCCCGTACAACACTCTGGAAGATCTCTCGCTTGTATTCCGTGCTCATCCTTATTGGCCGCCCCCTAGAGCCGCCTCGTTTGCAAATATCTCCTACCTTCGCCCTATCTTCGCTCACGAGAAGTTCTCTGGGCTCAGAAGGCTGCAAGTACACTGCATTCTCGATGACGGCACGCACTTCCGAGTACCGGAAGACTTCCCCTGCCGAGACCTCGTACTTCACGACTGGCTACCTGACGTCGCGCCTCGCATTTGGGCGAATGATTTGGAAGATACCTTTGACCGCGTGTTTGAAATATGACTCCTTCACTGTAATCGCTTGCATTTGGTGTTCACTCTAGTATTCGAGGCACGCTTTGACAAAGGCAATATCTCTGTACCGTACTTGTATTCTCCAACATCTACGCTAAGTATTTCGCGCATGTCGGTCTGTGAGTCTATTTCGACGCTTTCCGCGCTCTCAACATGCTCCTTAGCGAAGCTTCTTTGACATAACCTAAATCTCTGGCGCAGGTTGCAAGGCCGGCCGTCGTGTGAACCTAACCTTTGCTCTGCGCTCGCCATCCTCCTTCGTCGCGACCTGAATCTCTGGGGCTTGCAGGTAAACAACATACTCTGCCTATGTTGTCCTTCACCTACTTAGATATACCCTATGGTGCAGTGGATTCAAATGGTTGAGCATACGTGTGCCTGGTGCGACGAAGAGTCGCCCAATGCAAAACGATGTGCTGGCTGTCGCAAGGTCTGGTACTGCAGCAAAACATGTCAAACGGACCACTGGCCGCGTCATATCTTTAACTGCAAGTCCGGACAGCCTATCAGCACTGCCTATTATCTTTCCAGCTCTGTTTGGGGCGACGAAATACCCGTCGATGCACAAACGCGAATCGATTACGGCTTCGATAAAGCGGAAAAACTTCTGAATGGCGAGTCCGGAAGCATGCTCCTCGGCTTGTACAAGGGACTGTTCTACGCTGGTGTCAAAGAGAAGGAGCTCCGGTTGTGGCAGAGAGAGGGGCGGCTTATCGAGGGCATCAAAGCAACATTCGAGGCACTTCCTCCCCGCACCAGAGGAGGCTACTACCCGTGGTTCCTGCAGCACCAGTACCTTCTCGACGGTTCCCCTCCAGATGAGGACGATGTCACAAGGAAGACCAAGGATCGTGCGCTCTCTATGCTGCGAAATGGATGGATCGCTACGGGAGGATCCCCGCATGACTCCACCGAAGAGATCGAGGCCAAGCTTGCTGCGCTCTCAGAGGAGCGACGTGCTTGCCATCATTTTTACACGATGCTATTCTCGCAGGCGCACCCATCCCCCGATCTTTTGGCTTGGTTGCACTTCGGCTTCGTTGCATCGTCCTCAATGGGCGAAGAGATGCACATTGCACGGTTATATATCGCTCTCCTCAACCGCTGCACTTTTGAAGAGTTTTGTGTCGCATATGAGACCTCGTCCATCTCTGCTCTCTTCGACCGCTACGATATCCCCCTTGGAAATTCTCCCCAGTTCCGCGACGTGATGTCGGGCACCCCTCATGTGAATAAGTCGGTCTGGGATCTGAAGCAGTATGTCGACCAGCTCATCGCCTTGCAACCTGACGCCGAAGGGCTGCCGCCACTCACTCCCTCCGTTTTGTGCGACTACGGCTTTTCGAACTGCAAGAGTCCGGCAGAGAGGAAGATGCTCGACGAAATGTACACACAGCTCTTCGCGAAACCGGGCATGGACCCACTTGCACTCCACGAGGCGTGCATCAAGGGCCAGCTGTTCGATTTCGTGAAGAGCCTCATCAAACTTGGCGGGCGGTCGACAGCCGTAAAATATGCCCGCCTGCTGAGGAATCCGTACCCGCTCCCGGATATGGAGGGTTTAAGGTGCGTATAGCCATGTTCAGGTGATATAAAGTGTGCTAATGACCATGCCATCTTCAGCCTTCGAGTAGCACGATAGTGACACCCTGAACCTCACTCCTCGGATATGACCTTTATACCGTGTCAGCGTACTCGGCTTTGCCTTCCCTCATGCATGTGTATCATGCAGTCGGTAATTTATGTAGGACACACTGGTATACTGCAACTCATTTGTGAAACATCAACGCCTATGAGTGGGAACAATATCAGATGAGCAGGGTCGCTTTGTGACATCTTGCATAGCTGGACCAGAGACATAACCAGAAGAAAGGCCGGTTGTCGATCCAGCGAGTTGTCATATCCTGCACAGCAACACGTCAGCAGTGTCGCAGTGATAACCATAGAATCTTACCAGCGAAGCCTCAGGTTGGTCGTACGGAGCCAGGTGCCTGTTCAACATCAGCAAGACTCGAGCTCAGACAATTCAACCGGAAGTCTTACCCTGCTTCGAACATCCTAACAAAAGTCACGTTTCCCGCACCTGGTCCCGCGACGCGTACGTTTCCGGCATGCTCACCTGTGGCCATTTTCCAGGATAAAGTCGGCGCACGATCGAACTCGGCGTGGAAGTCATGCTCGAGTCGACTCATCCAGCGTTCAATGCCCTGCGAAAGCGTTAGGAATAGTAGAAGTCTCCCGACGTCTCGTACCATATAGTTGCACACTCCATCTACGGACATTCAGTGAGTATCGACAAAGTAGGCGAATATATGCGCGACGAGTCTCACCTACGTCACCCGCATACGCAAGCAGCCGGACCCCGCTGTTGACGAGCGAAGGCAGCAGCCCTGGCTGTTCAACATCGCCTGCCCTAAGGCGTAAAACGCTAGGTTGACGTCGTAGTTGGTAGTAACCTTGAAGTCTAACCCCGGATCGACGCCAAGCGCAAGCTTCGTCGAGGTCTGGTTCGGGTAGGCGACGCCTGCAGTGACCTCGGGATAGCACATTGACTCTGCCTGGTCCTCAGGACATTCCTTGCGGAGATCGTAGGGATTCTTTTTTGCAGCTAGCCCATCATATAAGTACATTGTCTAGACGATGGACACAAGGTAAAATATACCTTCTAACGGTCCTCCCTGAATGACTGTCCAGCAGTGCGTGGTGGCCGCGTCGCACGTTGCGTTACTCGGGAACTTGTAACATGACCGCACTAGGCTGAGGCACACTGGCGTCGCTGCACGCCAAGCCGCACAGCGTGGGTCGTCTGGCCGAAACGGCGGGTACGGTGCGCCGCCGCACATGTACTCGACGTTCGTCTCGAACTGCGCCGCGGGGTCCGTGAGGCCGTTCGCGACGGCTACCGATGCAAGGTCGATCCGAACCTGGCCTAGGCGCGGCGCGTACACCATCTTCTCATTCTTGAGGTGTGTATGAGGTGCGCGATGTGTGGGACATAGTGTCCACTCCAGCTCTCGCCCGCAAGATGAAATGGACGTGCGGCGTAGCGCGGGAAGCGGTGCATCCAGAGCTGCAGGAACGCGTAGACATCTTCCGCCAGCGTCGCCAGCATCAGCGTCGTCGCGGACCCATACGAGTAACCCGTGCCGACGGGCTGGTCGAGATAGATGATGTTGACCTTTTCGTTCCAGGAGTGCTTATTAACTTTCATAGTGATGCTCTCGACAGGCACAGAGTAGGGCCCATGCTCGAAGAGCAAACCCGAAGCAATCGTTCTCGCGCCTGGGCCACCATTCAGCCAGAGCATGAGAGGGGCGTTCTCGGGATCATGTCTGGCTTCGAAGAACCTATTGCAATTGCAGCATCAGTCTGTGCTGGCGCGGAAGTGAAGGTGATACGAACCAGGAGAAGAGGTGTTTTCGTTCGAGATGTCGGGGTATCCGGAATACCGCTGCACAGACTGATCGCATATATTCGGCTCCACTATTCTGAGCCAATAATTTGAGTATGAAGGGTGTCTTGCAGGATTAACTGTAACGTGTCCGCTCAGTGCTGTTCAGTACCCGGGCGATAGAATGTGCGACAATGTGTACGTACACGTAACCTCATAGCTCTCGATGCGTTCACCAACACCATATACCTGTCCCTGTTGAACCGCACCGTCCAAAGCATCGAATCCTGCAACGCCTGGCTGCAGCACACTCTGCGAGCTCTGCCCCTCATGCGGCACTCCGAGCACCGCAATGCATAAAGCAAGCCAGGACAGTCCGACAGTCTTCAATAACACCATAATCCTCCCGGAATAGAAGGGACAGCGTGAATCCTGGTGCAGTACCTTGGAACTCAATTATATACCCCCTGAACGATGACGCTGCGGCGGCGATCTGTATACGTGGTCTATCGGCAGAGTCGAGCACATGGGCGCGGATATGAGGGATGTAAAGAGGTGATACAGGTGCGCAGGCGAACGTGGATTATTGAGCTTCCTACAAGACTATCTGGACCTCGGCGACGGGCGGAGATCACTTGAAGCTGTGTCGCATGAGTGGGCGGATAAGGCGCATCGCGCATCGACTCCAAGGCGCATCAAAGCCCGTTTATTGGAAACATTGGTCGTGCCACGTGCTATCCGACTTTTTGCGACCGCCGCGTTTGCACTTCCCCAATGATCTGCGCTCTCTGTGCTCGTACCTGGCGGATGTAATCAAGGCACGCGACAATATTCTCGACCAACATGCCCGGAAAGACTCTGATACGCTCTAGGTTGAAGCTGGGACCTCCTTGGTGTCGATACTTGCGGGCTCGTCCACACCGAAAGCCCCCTAGCTGCAGCTGCAGCTGTAAATTGACCGTATATGCCACAAAACGCGTAAATACACTCCTTTGGCCTCACATGGAGCTAGCTATTTGCAGAGCCGAGAAGGAGGGCCCATATGGCCTCTAACGGCGTCCCCTGCACTCCGCTGAGCCTCGCGTTGGCGAAGCTCACCCATGCATCACTTGTGGGTCCAGCGAGTGCTTCTATGTCTTCTTCTTCTCCTGCCTCGTGTCCTCAGAACTTCTCACCGCGATCGTCTGCTTTGCGTCTAGAGGTACGCACCGTCTGAGCGCGCCGCTAAGGCTGTTTGGTTCCAGTTTGAGGTTTCGCAGAAGTGGCAAAACTCGTGCCAGTCCAAGTACCCTGGCGATCATTTTGAACCTAGAACGCCGTAGTACGTGCCTCTTCGAACTTCAGCTTATCAACGCATCGCAACTATCTTCAGGTCCATCTGGAAGAGCATAGCTATCTACACGCCCGCATCGACCTGAGTCAAGTTCGACTGCCAGACTGGTTTTCCTAACGAAAACGCTCAAGATGTCTCATACTGCGTTCGACGAGTCCACTGCGCGATTTTCAGAGCGAGTCGGCGTCGATCCTGCCTCCAAGCTTACTCGGGGTATCGAGCGATTGCTCAATTGCTACGCAATAATTAACGCCGTCAGCTGAGAGCTTTGAATGCTTCCGTTCGCAGCTTCGCTTGGCGTCCGACGGGAATGGTGTCGAAATTGGGCTGACCACAGCCACAAAGGCAATGGGCTTGCTGCGACTGAGTAGGCGCGACGGAAACGGGCTACTTTCCCAGGAAGAAATTTGACGGCCGCAATGCCAGTTGTCGGTGGGTTAAGTTCGCGCCAGGTGCCATGAGGCTACTGACGTCCTGTCACTCTTCAGAATTGGACTTCGCACCAGGCAGTCACACGCTCTCACGAAGACACTGAGTGACCATCAATTTCCGTAGATGTCTGTGGGCGCATACAATGGCCGTATTTCTGTAAGCTTGACTGAATCTCGGCACTACGGCTTCATGTTTGAGGCTGCATGCACGCCACGTATCGTATGTGCTCACGCTCTGCAGCACAGGGTAACATCCTTCATTACGCGTACTTCACAGAACATCAACTTCACTCCCAATCACAAATTTGATCCCAGAACCAGAAGCTTCCACGCAGTTCACCTCTCTCGCTGTCGCTCTGTTGGTTTTGGCAAAATCTTTCTGAAACCCGCAGCTCATAGCTGCCACGAAGAGACCTGGCGGGCTGTACGTGATTATAGCTGGCCCTCGGTTGATACTTGTACTCAGCAGACCGCAACTCTTGCAGACATCGACATGAACGGATATATGACTGCAAGTCTGTCATCGGAGCGGCCGCTCTACGGCAGTGGAGAAGCTCTGCGCCGCCGGTTCTTTCGTGGCTCAAAGTACAGAGATCGGATTGCCTTCTCCTCTTCAGCGACGTGATTCGAGCTGGTGCGTGATCGCCACCCAAACAGGACATCTTCTTGACTTATGGTGGCGTGCGATACCTGCCGACTTACCCCATTTGGTTTTATTTGCTCTGAATCAGGAAAGTCAACACGTCAAGATGCCTCAGAGTGCGGTGGTTGAAGTTCTTCCAGGTTGACGAGTATATATATGCACTCGCTGCCAGCGTGCTCCTTGCTTCGCATCTCCATCATCTTTTCCTCGTCAACATGAACGCTAGTCCCTCCGCCCCCGGGTCGTTTGGCCCTCTCTTTGAGTCAACGACTTCCAGGCAGCACGCCCCACCTCCCGGGCTCAGCGCGTCTATCTGGGCACCCCAGCCTCAGCCCTCCGAGTCCGCCTGGTCTCGAGCGATCGACTCTATCAGCAGAGCTCCCGAAAGCTACGGAGATAACCTCTTGCGACCAGAGATGCGACGCACTTCCTCTCATCCTGCCGGCAGGAGCGGCGAAGACGTCTTCGGGCCTGTAGGACTTCCCTCGGGAGCCTTGCGCAGGAAAGGCGTCGGTGCTATTGGCGATGGTCGAAAGAAGACTCCTCCTGATTTCGATCCTATTGTATGCTCTTGCTGCGTCATATAACATGGGTGTATGCGTGCTAATCAGTGCCTTTCCAGCACGTGCAGCAGCTTTTGCGAACTCTGAACCTCAACTCGCCCGGCCCACTCTCTCCCACGGTCCAGACTCAAGATCTGGGTCCTCCCTCCATCTCCCCTGACGTTTCCCCCATCTCGACGACTTCAGCATTGTTGACCCCTCCCGAATTATCTCCTGCAAAGCCGTATGGGGATTGGAAGTTCAGCCCGTCCTACGACTTCAGCTCAGTGCCTCAGACTTTGGCCAATAACACCCTGCTTTTTGAGACCGACCCTCTGCATCGGTACCAGGAGGTCTTCAACCCTCAGCAGAGCGGCTACAACAAGCCCGCCACTGCTCAGTCCGCTGACCCTTTCCAGTCGAGCGCTCGTGCATTTGGTTCTTTCGAGTCTTTCTCCGAACGTTCGTCCTTTTCGACTGAGACGTTTCCTCGCGCGGACTTGGACTCGACGTCCCGTCACAACTCAGGCCTGCTTCATCCATCGTGGCCTCACCAACGTATTCGGACGACTTCATCCGAGTGGACGAAAACCGACGATCGCCGCATGTTCGAGCAGACAAACTCGGACGTTAATCTGAGCCCTAACTCCCGCGCTCATGCAACTGCTCACGAGGTACGATCACCGTGTTCTCTTGCGTCGCATCACGTACTGAGCTTTGCTCTGCAGCCGATCAACTTCTTATCCCTCCTCCACCCATCCTCGTCCCCCCCTTACCATGTTTTCGTTTCTCGTATCATCAAGTCATCCGATCAGCAAGCGTCCATCTTCTTGCAACAGAAACTCAAGGTTGCTGATGGCGAAGAGCGGGCGAAAATCGTGGACGCTATTTGCTCCCGAGGATTCGAGATGATGGCCCATCGGTGCGTCATTACGGTATTCAATATCTCATTCCACAAGCTGATTTCTTTCCTCCAGTTTCGGTAACTGGGCAGTGCAACGTTGCCTCGAAGCTACCAGCAGCGTAGAGGAACGGAGGAAGATTGTCTTGTGCATGAGGTGCGTCCCTTTCCTTGCGTCTTTCAACGCAGAGCTGAACGCGTGCATACCACCTCAACAGGGGGAAAGTTGTCGAGCTCGCTACCAACTGCTATGGATGTCATGTTCTTCAGAAGGCGCTTGACTGTGAGGAGGATATCAGGTTGCTCATCGTTTCGGAATTGCTCCTCGGCGATCCTGCTCAGACTTTGGTCAACAAACACGCTTCTCACGTTTGGAGTAAGGTACGTGCTGAGACTATACTTTTCGCTGACGAGCATGAATTGAGTCTTGTTTTGTTTTATTCTCTAGATTATGGAGCTGTCCTGGACCTCGCCAGCTCCGCCCATCTTCGCTTAGTAGGTGATGGTATCATATGTACTTCACGTCATCTGACACAAACGCAGTGTCAATAGATCCCTAAAAGGAAAATGGGCTTCGCTTGCCTGCCACGAGACCGGATCGCTGGTCGTTCAGGTACGGACTTCGTTAATGCGCGTACTACGGACAAGGTTATAACCTCTTGTTACTGCAGCACGCGTTCGAGAACCTCGAGGACTCTGCGAAGGACGGAATTGTAGACGAACTACTCAACCAAGGATCTACAGTATTCGGAGAGGTTGCCAAGAATCAGTGGGGCTCCTATTGCATTCAGCACAGTACGTCTATCCTCGCTCTCCAGTTCTGGAGACTAATTTGGATATGTGCGTAGTCCTTGAGCATGGTTCCACGAATCACCGCAAGATGGCTCTCGACCACATCATCTCAGGACTTCTCGAATACGCCACAAACGAGCAAGGTGCGAAGTCGGTAACCAAGGCGCTCAAGGAGGGCGGCAAGGAAACCTTGAACCGCATCATTTCTCGCATGTGCGAACCTGCGAAAGGGTTCGAGCTGTCTACTCCATGCTTTCGGATACTGCTCATGCTTTTGTAGTGGGCGGCGAGCAATGATCGTCGACCTCGCTCTGTCGGCCACTGGGAGCCAACTGATCGCGAGCGTTCTGCCCAACGTACGTACACCGAAATGTGATTTAATGCAACACTCTAACACTTTCGCAGGCGGACAAAGATCAACGTGCCTTGCTCTACGACTCTATTCGTGGGCATATCGTGACCCTTCGTGGATGCAAAACCGGGTCCAAAGTCATCTGGCTGTTGTACGTTGGTGCTTGTTGCGCGCCCTGGCCGATAGTTGCTGACATGGCCGTCGGCTCGAACAGCGATCGCATGCGCGCCTATTATGGCTATTGATTGTTCTAGACTATCGTTCATCGACCTTGCATATTTCAATCGGCATATCTTACGGCATCTCACCTCGTCTTTCAATAACAACCTCATACCAGCGGACTGTTCGACGCCAAAATATTCGCCTTGCGTATTGGCAAGTCAGCCAACTCCCTCGCTTCTCTTCCACGTCATACGTCCTGCACTTCAACAGCATCAGCAAGTATACCGTATCATATCCATTCTCCTCAAGACTGTCGGCATTACGTCTCGCAGCCATCGCTCGATTATTCTACCCTTCCTTTCTGGTCGTTTGTGGGGGCCGTTGGACCTTCCCTTATTTGAACAATCTTCGTAAGTCTCTTGGCGATATAGGGGATCATCATACAATCTCCCCCTGCTTCTTATTCCCTGTTGTACTCTGCATTGCATTATCTTCATCTCCGATTTCTTTGTTCGCCTTCGCGGCGACACCTTGTCGTCCTTGTCTTGCCCTGCTTCAATTATCCGCCCTATTCCCCCGCTCCCTCCACGGTGTCGTCTCATGCTCTGCGCAGTTGTCGCAGTTACACTCCTTTTGCACTCCTTTGTTACGTTTTCGGTGTCGAGCTGTGCCCTCGGCGTACGCCACGTTCTTTCGTCCCTTCACTTCAGTTACTCGGTAGACAGCCGCACGCGTATTCATGTATCTGAAACCAGTGTACAACTGTATCAATACCATCTTATATGTGATATCTGGGCGTGCAAGGCTTGTTCTAGAACGCGATGTTGTCTCTGAAGGCCTCATTATTCCATACTACTGCCGTTGACTGGAGTCACTCTCGAATGACCAGACCAACTTGAAGGCTCGTCCTCCACGGCCTTCGACTCCGCCAAGCTTTACTCCTAGGCACGGAGAGCTGTCCTCTGACCATGATCTCGCTCCCTCAAACGCGCTCAGTGACTTGGATCAAGCTGGTCCTAGGGCGCTGGGTTCTTGCCGCGGTAACAAGTACTTTCTGCCTCTGGTCTCTTCAGTCGTTCTATCGCTCCGAGCGACCTCCTGAAATTTTAGCCCAAGCATCTCTCGAAGGACCTGTGGTAACTGAGCCAGTCGAGGTGCAGGATGATCAATTGGTAGTTGCTCTGGAGCTTCGAGCGGCATTGTGAGATCATGCACACTCAAATATTGCCTTGGCCTGACGCTCTATCCAGCCATACTATCATCGAGATTCTATCTCTACACACCTCGAACGAAGGACGGTTGAAATTTGTCCGCATTAAAAGGTTCAAAATGACATCTCACACGTACGATGCTTACGCGGGTCGTTCATCGGCTTCGCTCTTCATCGGGAACGGAGTAGTATACCGAGCGTCCTTAAATGGCGCATCAGTGAAGTGGCAAACCTCCTCGAGACCCCTAGCAGTGACGTGAGTACATTTCTGGTCTTAATTAGCATGGTTCTGATGTACTGCAGGGCGGTGCAGTGGCAATGGCCATTGGTGATAGCCTAGTCGTCGTTGTCACTGCCCGAAAGCTCGAGCTGTATAATTTGCACAAGCTCTCCGAAAGCTCTGCGAAATGCGAACGTCTTTGCTCCGTTTTGCTTGGTCGTTCTGTTGGCTGGGCCCAAGCAATGTTCACCCCGTCGACTTCACCCAGATGGTCAAAGCTCTGTGTATGCGTCAGTGGCAAGAACGGCCTCTTTGCACATATCGACACCGCAGATCATCTTCGCTTGATTGCGGAGGACACTGTTCTGACTCCCCATATGGGGCCAGGAGGCGGTCACCGGCGTTGTCAGGAAGCGATATAAGGAACAAGACTTCTTTGTATACAAACCCAGTCTCCCCACCCACGGACGGTCGCTTGCTTGGCTTCTTAAAGCGGCCCACACCATGGAACCAATCGGATTTGGTACTCTGGCGGAGGGCCTGCCGGCCGGGACATCCCATGCATCGACCGAGTATCGACTTGAGCATCCCGCCTTACCTGTGATGTTTGCTGTCGGTACCTACGATTACGACGAGGCTCTTGGCGTCGCGGTGTCCGGCAACGCATGCAGCGAGCTCGCGGTGTTCAACTTGAGCACCTCGCATATTGCTCCGCTCGAAGGATGTTTCGAGGCCCTCCCCATACCTTACGGCGGTGGAAGGCACGAACTCGAAGTCATGCATAAAGTGAGCAGCCATCTCTTCCCGTGTCAAGCCTCTCCTCTGACGCAAACAGACGATGATTCCTGCTACATTCGCGCCTCCATTCCCATATTTGGGGGTACTCTAAGCCTCTCTTTGCACAGTGGAGAGCAAGGCAACCCAATACAATACCACGAGGGTGGGCATTCCAGAAGATGAACAGCATGTCGTCCGGCTCGACTGGATTCACCTTATCCCTCGGCTCCCCAGTCATATGGAGGATATCGGCTGGTCTATCGACCACGCTCACCACTGCATAGGGCTACTCGTACCGCTCATGACGGATGATCGGTATTCGCTGCTCACTGCAGGCGGTCTTCTGCTGCTGTGGGACAATGAAGAGAAAGAGCTGTGGGTAGTCTCAACAGGATTTACGCTTGGGCAGCTTGTGGCGGCATACCGATTGAGCGATAGCTCCCGTCTTTGCGCGACTGGGACTACACCGTGACCGATTGGGGCTGGTATCTACGCCGATTGTGGCAGTGGTGCTCGGCCGGAACTGATAGACGTGCACCGCGACTGGCTCGTTATCCCTCATCTTCGGGGGTGAGCCGTAGACATGGATAATGAAGACATCGGGGAGACGGCGAATGGTCAGGAAATGCAATCAGCTAGTCGATATTATTACTATTACTACTATAATTTTGTGCTCTGAAAGTATTATTCTCAAACACTGATCAGAAGGATTTGTTAGTGGGTGCCTTATGCTGTCAAGTAGACGCGTGCTACGACTACTGCGAGCTTATAGCCCGTTTGGTGGCGAATGCTTACAGTACTGTCCTTGTTATCACTTTCGGCCTGAAGCGCCAGAGTAGTCTCGCACTTTGGAGTTACAGTATCACGACTTCGATCACGGTGACGGTCTCTTGCGACCGCGACGCCTCACCATTTCTAGAATCATTCACGGCCTCGACGGCTTATTGCACACACGCCTGATCCGCGGGCTTTAGTGCCACGTATACACCGAAGAGGCCCCCTTCACACGTCCTTCTCGACGCACGCGCCGTGGAACTTGCAGCCTGATAGGTCTACGACGAGGATGGCAGATCCCACAGTGCGCAAACGGAAGACGGCACCTACGAGACCTAGTAACGGAGCAGGTGATGCTACGCCAACAGGTGGCAACGCCCCGGTGCGTGTGCAAGCGTTGCGTGACGGTTTCGCGGAACCGCATGTGCTAACGCTATCCGAAACAGACCAAGAGGACTGCAGGCTCAGTCAAGCTTTCGACCATACTTTCGCTCTTGTTGATTGCTATCGGGACTCTGAGCTACCAAGTACGTTCAGTGTTCATGCTACTTAGTGTGGCAGTACTGCGGACTGACATACTCTAGCAACCACGACTCGTTCAAGGGATTATAGATAGTGTTTCTAGCCTGATATGGAAGTTCAAACCCTTGCCGGGTACTGGACAGAATCTTGTCGCGGAGTTTATACCAGACATGGAGAGGCGCGATGCAGTAGTACGGGCTTTCCAGGTGCGCACCGTTCGCCGGTAGTCTACAACAATGTGCTGATCCTGGCCCTGTAGCATGCATGGCATGCATATGGTATGTTATGATACTGGCAGCTGCTCAAGAGGAATGCTCACACGACCAGAGAGTGATGCCATGGGCGACGACGAGTACCACCCCATAGGCCACACGGGATCAAATCTTACTGCAGCTGGAGGAATTGGCTACACCGTTGTCGACTCACTAGACACGATGATTATCATGAGACTCGAAGACGACTACAAGCGAGCACGAGAGTGGATAGCGACTAAGTTGGACTTCGAGAAGGACGCAGATTTCAATACTTTTGAGGTGCGTCACCTATGTCTACTTGCTGTCTGGTATTTAAATGTGGATCTTTTCAGACCACTATACGTGTTCTAGGAGGGCTCCTGTCCGCATACAGCTTGACTGGAGACGATCTTTTCCTCGAGAAAGCCCAGGACCTTGCAGATCGCATACTGCCCGCTTTTGATACACCTTCGGGGTTGCCCACGAGCTTAATCAACCTTGCACTCCGCGAAGGTGTCATGGATCCGGACAATCCGGAGCTTGTCAGCACTGCTGAAGTATCCACTCTTCAGCTAGAGTTCCGATACCTCGCTCACCTCACGGACAATGAAGAATATTGGCATAAAGCTGAGAAGGTGCGTAAAGCCTATGTACTTCTGGATCGTACTAACAGCATCTCCTTTAGGTGATGAGAATAATAAAAAATGCAAGACTGTCGACAGGTCTTGCCTCTATTTTCATGAAGTACGTTGCCGACTTTCCTGCCATCACCTCTTCAACTGACAACTACACGCATATAGTAAAGACGGCGGACGCTATGCATTGTCCGCAATTCGCTTAGGATCAAGAGGGGATTCCTACTACGAATATCTACTCAAGCAGTATATCCAAACAGTAAGTTGCTTTGCAGATCAATGCTTCTCTAGCTGACAGCTTTTAGAACATGACAGAACATGTTTATCGCGAGATGTACGATGACGCCATGGACTCAGTGGCGGAACACCTCATTTCGCGGAGCCAAAAGGCGAAGCTCATCTATACCTCCGAGCTAGTTCCCCAACGAACGTACACCTCCGACATGTAAGCCGTACGTGCTTCCGATAGCATTCCCACCTCACTACCCTTACAGAGCCTGGCGTCTTGTCCCGAAGCAAGACCATCTCGTTTGCTTCTTCGGTGGGTCACTCATGCTTGGCGCCACAATTACGGGTGCTACGCAGTACCCCATATCGGTACCGCCCCGTCCAGAGCAGCTCACGAAGCAGGGTAAGCGTGATTGGGTGAACGGTGTCGAGCTGATCAAGACGTGCATGAAGACGCACGAGACGAAAACGTGGGTAATTTGCTTGCACTTAGCCCAAAGCTGACGGTATGCGCTCTTGTGAATAGAGGACTTGCTCCAGAGATTGCGCACTTCAGGATACCGTCAGATAACCTGGATGAAACCATCGCCCCCGATGATTGGTATATTAAGGGTGGGAAGTAAGTAAACGATACCTGAATCACATTTGATTTGTGTTTACGACATTCCGTAGACCAGGTGCAGAGGCATCATATGATGCTCGATACATCCTGCGGTATGTTGCTGACATTCAGCGTACCGACTGTCTCTGATTTGCTCCATAGACCTGAGACTGTGGAATCCCTCTTCATTGCCTACCGCCTGACAGGTGATCCGCGCTACCGCGAATACGGTTGGTCGATCTTCCAGGCGATTGAGAAATACTGCCGGATCGAGTCTGGTGGGTATGCGAGCGTTCTCAACGTCGACGAGGTGCCCGTCAAGTACGAGGACAAGATGGAGACTTTCCTCATGGTGAGTGCACATACATGCTTAATCAAGCAGAAGAGGTTAACAGCTTGCGGTAGAGCGAAACGCTCAAGTATCTGTACTTGCTGTTCGATGACGACAAGGCTCTACCGCTAGACAGTACGTCATGTATTCAGATGCCTAAAAGAGCTTACTGATACTCGTTTTGCAGAATATGTATTCAATACCGAGGTACGAGCCGCGCTATCGTGCACCTGCGCCAACACTAACGGGCTTTTAGGCGCATCCATTACCTATCTTTTATCCCACATTCCGCACAGGCTTCTCATAACTGCCGACTACACACTGTCCGTTCGCAGAAATGTACTGTATTACTGCCATTTAACATCGGGTATAGAGATTCTGCGTCATGACACTGCCTACTGGTGAACATCGACGTACGACAAAGGTGAATGCATAGCGGTAGGTGATGTGGCATGTAATTTGTAGTGTGTATAATCGAAAGGCTCGAGACATCAAGACATCAGGAGATCATAGGGTGAGTGTCTATCTGAAATCATATGATAAATAGAATTAATAGTTTCATCAGGAGCCCGTGCAGGGTATCTTCCCTGGCCAAATATTGCTAATACAGACTTTGTGACGAGTTTCAAGGCTTCTCACGCTGAGGTTCCCGTCACCTGGGCGTACGTCAATCGAGCAGTGCTATCGTTATCTTCCAACTCGAGGTACTCCCAAGGCTCGTTCGGCTCAGGTTCAGGCACCTCGTGGTCGTCAAGTGCAATCACCGACCGCGAGCCTTGCACGACCTCAAAATCGCCGGCTACGCATGTTACTGTCAGCATACTCTCAACCGCCATCCCAGAGTAGGCACGACTCACCCTTCTGGCGATGCCGCCGTGGCTTGGCCGGCTTCGCGATATCGAAGAGCGCAACCTCCTTCCGCGCTGGCCGGCTCTCTACCTCCGCGACCCAGTCCGTCTCTTCCGCCTCTTCCCGCCCGTCGTCCTCCAGCTTGAGCTGCCACCCGCCGCGGACGTGCGTCATCATGTGCGGGCGGGTGTCCCGCACATCGAGATCGCGCAGCCTCTTGAACCAGTTGTGGTCAAAGAGCACGGCGGGGTCCTTCCGCCAGCGCTTGATCTTCCACTCGCTGCTCTTGCGGAGCATCTTGCGCGCGTGGTCGAAGTTGCCCTGCTCCTTCAGCTCGAGTATCGCGTTGGCAGAGGGCCCATTCAACTCGGCATCATCTGATATCCTCCAGAAGGCTAAGTCGGCTGGATGTACCAAATACGGTGTCCCGCATCTGTCGTCCCAAACCAACAAGGATGACTCGGGCCAGTAGTCGTCGTAATAGAAGGACATGGATGTGTCGGACCTATCATCATACGACGACGTGGGTGTCCTGGGTTTGTCGTCGTCGACTAACATTCTATGAGAGCAGAGGGTGGTGGGTGGGTTGACTGACGAATTGTGCGAAGGAGGAAGATAAGTAAGCCTCCGCTTCGGGTCCGGCTGCGGTGGAGAGTGACTCGGCAGTGGCTATTCGGTACTCGGAGCACGTCAGGTAGAGTCAATATGTCAGGAGCGCTGCCATGGTCTAATCAAGACATCGCCCTGAACTTCCCTGCTTGAGGTGGGTCGAGTCAGCATAGCCTAAGGCACTGCCCGGGTTGCGGACAGGTATGCGCCACTAATTGCATGTCAAGCAGTTATTCCCGGCGGGCTTTGGCAACTTAGCGAGGAAGCTTCTGCGAAAAAAGGCTTCTACACTGGTCGTTCTCTGTGCCAGTCGTTGCTGCCCGCGGCGGATCAGGACCTTGCTCCGGGGTCCGAGAGTGACCGATTCGGGCGCGTGTCGGGCGCATATCGGGCGCTTCGATCCTATGTAGCTGCTCGTCCTGCTCAGAAGGTTCAGCATGTCGTTCTTAGGCTTCGCACACTATTTTG